AGCCCCAAGAACCAAATATACCAGCAAGCAACACACTGAGCTGTTGCATAGAAAGGTGCTTGCTCTAAAATTGGGCATCACAGATGATAAACTGTGGCAGCTTTAAAGACTGTAGCAAGCAGATATGCAAAGTTGGATATATGCAGGGGAACTCAGCTGAGGCCCTGCTTAGACAAACTGGTTCTACAGGATGCCTAAAGGCTTTCACTGAAAATGGAGAAAAGGTTCTGTCTTAATGATACCAAGAGAAAGCACAGGGACCCAAATTCCTCTCCAGCAGTACCAAAAAGCTGATCAAGGCTTGCCTAAACACAGTGACGTAATGGCAATAAAGCTGGCATTTCAAGGCAAGACATGTGTCCCCCCAGAAGTGTGTTTCTGTCTGGAGGTATACCTCTCCAGGTCAGCACGAGTCATGCCTTGGCTGGGCCCAACCAATACCTACGCCGGTGACGAGGACCCAAGCACGGGGTGGCTGTTCAGCATCAGCAATGGCTTTGGCCAAGGTCCTGGTGGTCTCAACCCGGCTGCTGATGACTTCCCTGCAGAAGGCATCACCCCATCTGGGAAAAGGAGAGCCACTGATTATACTCCCCTCAAGAACATCCCAGGAAACAACAGCACCAAGTGGGGCCCCAGCAGACACCTGCTCACAAGCACAGGAGAGGTCACGTGAACTCCCCCCCACCCCAGAGCAGGGGGAGGACATGGGATCTTGCTACCTAAATGCACGGGGACTTTGGGAGATGGTGGCCCTCCACTTCCCACAAAAGGCTGTGGGTTTTGGACTGCCTTAGGACAAAGCTGGCAGAGGAGCTGGACACCAAAGCTGGGTGCGGTGAGTTCTTCCCAAGCGCCTGGCAGAGGCATTTACAAAAACACCGTCGTAGAAGTCAAACTTTGGTTCTGATTTTGCATTATCTAAATGTAGGCAACCAGTGTCATTTCGGAAACGTGGAACAACTTTGCCTGGCCTCCCAACTGTCAATGCAGAAGGGAAGCTGCCTTCCAAAGGTCTCCCAGAACTTAACAGGCCCACGGAAATGTTTTGGATGCTTGAGGACCCAGATGTCAACAATCAGGTAACCCAAGTGTTTCCTGGACACTCTTGTTTCCTCCCCAGATCCCTTCCACATTCTCTGATAACACTAGGCTGTCTTGCCTTCACCTTGTCCCAACAGCACTATGGGAGATCAAGTTACCTGCGGAAAGGGTTGAGGACATTTTCACCAGCCAAGTTCACCACAGCATCGCACAGGGGCAGTCCAGAGTGGGACAACTCTTCCTAGCCAGGGATAACAGAGACATCACACACCCAGCCTCCCCTCTGCTCAAGCCTTCCCAACAACCAAGCAGGGCAGGCTTCTAAGAACTCCAACGTGGAGCTCCTAAGAACACTGCCTGGAGCACAAGCATGAATGGAGAAGGTTTTACTTCTTGGAGCTACAGCTGTACCCACCCCAATGACTATGACCCATGGAGCACCCAGGAGCCTGTAGTACATCCACAGGAGCCAGATTCCCTACTGCAGATTCCCTGTATCCCACAGCAGGCCAGGGCAAGCGGGCTTGTTCCTCAGCCCTGACACGTTCTCCCTCCTGTGACCGCTCTCATCTCATACCCAGCTGATCCGATCCTTGCCCTCTTGTCGAGAGACATGGGTCACTTCATGCCCACGGCTCCGCAGCAACTGGGTCAGTGCCCTGCCCACAAAGCCAGTCCCACCACCTAGGAGAAAGACAGGACGTTACAGATTTGCTACCCGGACTGGCATCCCAAGGCCTGCACAGGCATCCCCACCACCACGCCCAGCTTCCCGGGGTACACTGCGCTGGGCCCAGACCCGCCCGCCCCCC